TTTGAGACAGAATCTTGCTCTGAAGTGGAGTGGTGTGATCTCTGAAGTGGAGTGGTGTGATCTCGGCTCACTGCACCCTGCATCTCCTGGGTTCAAGAGATCCTCCTGCCTCAGCCTCCCGAGTAGCTGGGACCACAGGTGCACACCACCATGCCCAGCTAATTTTTGTGTTTTTAGTAGAGATGGGATTTCGCCATGTTGGCCAGGATGGTCTCAAACTCCTGACCTCAGAAGATCTACCCACCTTGGCCTCCCGAAGTGCTGGGATTACAGTTGTGAAATACAGTTCTGAATTCTGAGTATCTGCTCTGCTTGATGATAGTGATTCAAACTTGATCAGACTTCTGCTTGATGATAGTGATTCAAAGTCTTTGGATAAAAATATGTCATATATATTTAGAATATATGTTAGTTATAATGTTTGTCAGAGCTGCTTTGATAGTGCACCACACAGAGTGGCTTAAACAATAGAAATGTATTGTCTCACAGTTCTCAAGGCTGAAAGTTTAAGATCAAGGTATCAGCATGATTAAACATCTACCCTATACTTCTTGTTCTTTTTTATGACATTGGAATATACCATATTTGAAAAATGCATTTTAGAAAAACTAATGGAATCCAAAAAAGTTTGGAGTTTAGTGACTAATAATATATTAATATTGATTCATTAGTTATGACAAGTGTGCCATAATAATGTAAGAGTTAATGATAGATGAATTATATCACAAATGAAATTACAAATTATATTACAAAGCAATAGTAATCAAAACAGTGTGGTACTGGCATAAAAACAGTCATATAGACTATTGGAACAGAATAGGAAGCTTATAAAGGAAGCCATGCATAAATGGTCAGCTAATTCTCAGCAAGAGTGCCAAGAATACACCATAGGGAAAGGATAGTGTCTTCAGTAAATGGTGATAGGAAAACTGTTATTAACATGGAGATGAATGATATTGAATCCTTATCTCACACCATACACAAAAAATGAACTCAAACTGGATTAAAGATTTAAATGTGAGACTTGGAGCCATAAAACTAGAACAAAACATAGGGAAAATACTCTTTGACATTGGTCTGGGCAATGATTTTTTGAATATGATACCAAAAGCACAGGCAACAAAAGCAAAAATAAACAAGTGGGACTACGTCAAACTAAAAAGTTCCTGCATGCAAAAGAAACAAGCAGCAAAATGTAAAGGCAACCTATGGAATGGGAGAAAATATTGCAAACCATACATTTGATAAGGGGTTAATATTCCAATACATATAAGGAACTCAGACAACTCAGTTGCAAAAACAAAAATGACCTAATTAAAAAAAAATGGAAAAAAAGGACCTGACATTTTTTCAAAGGAGACATACAAATGTCCGACAGGTATATGAACATCATTGTTCATCAAGGAAATGCAAACCAAAACCACAATGAGATATCACGTCACACCTATTATAATGGCTACTATCAAAAAGACAAAAGTGTTGATGAGGGTGTGGACAGAAAGGAACCTGTCGGTGGGAATGTAAATTGGCACAGACACTATGGAAAACACTATGGTGGTTTCTCAAGAAACTAAAAATAGAATTACCATATCATCCAACAATCCCACTTCTGGGTATAAATCCCAAAAGAAATAAAATCAGAATCTCTTAAGAGCTAGCTGTATTGCTATGTTTATTGCAGCATTATTCACAGTAACTAAGATATGGAAACAACATATCTATAGACAAATGAGTGGATAAACAAAAGGTGTGTGTATATGTACATATGTAATGGAATATTATTCAGCCTTAAAAAAAGGAGGTCCTGCTATTTGCAACAACACGGATGAACTTGGAGGACATTATGCTAAGTGAAATAAGGTAGACACAGAAAGACAAATACTGCATGATCTCTGTTACGTTTTCAAAAGTCAAACTCATGGAAACAGAATAGATGGGTAGTTAACCAGACGTGAGGGTAGGGGAGATGGGAAAATGTTGGTCAAAGGGTACAAGCTTTCAGTGATAAGAAAAACAATTTCTGATGTACAGCGTGGTGACTATGGTTAATAATTATTCTATTCTTGAAATTTACTAAGAGAGTAGATCTCAAGTGTTCTCCCCATACATACAAAAAAGGTAACTAGTGAGTCCATGGATATGTTAATAAGCCTGTGTGGTAATCATTTCACAAGGTATATGTATGTCAAAATGTCATGTGGTACACCTTAAATATATGGAATTTTTATTTGTCCATCATACCTCAATAAGACTGGAAAAAAAATAGAGGAAACTGAATGACAGGTATATGGGAACTCTGTATTGTATTTGGAACTTTTCTGTATATCTAAAGCTATTCTAAAATCAAAAGGTTATTCAAATATAAACATCCTTTTATAATATAAAATGGTGTCTATATTAAACATTCCATGAATGCTGTACTTGGAATTATTATGTAATTATATTGTTTCTAATGCCATTGCTTATACATGTTTTTGTGCTCAAGAACAAATTGGATATGGCCTCTAGAGGACAGTGTTGGGTCATAGAAAGATGTTACAATTTCTGCCCAAGTTGAAGATGGTCATAACCATTTTTCTTCTTATTTTCTAACCACAAGGCCTGTTTATTCATTGTCCCTCTTTAAAAACAACAATAACAAAGAACATTTATGACTTGTCCGCTATTCTGACTAGTTGGCTGTTTTGTTTTAACTTATTTTCATGTAATTTTGGTTCCACAAAGATCTATTAGGCGAGAAAGATCTGCGGAGATTGCACCATAATCTTCACATCCCTGAGGGTTTGTGAAAGTCATGAGGGAACCCGGGGAAGCGATATGAGGCATATATTATGTGTCATTTGTGAGTTCTTCCATGATGGAGATGGAATTATAGAGTTGAACTTCCTTTGGAACAACAAACAACAGTTTGTAGCTTGATCAGGGTGCATGTAAGCAAAAAGGGGTTTTGATCTTTTAAAGGTTGAGACCCCTGCTCTACAGTGGTTTGTTGGTGGTGGGAAGAAAGGAAAAAAACCATTGCTCTCGCTTCTGGAGCAAATTTCTGGAGTAACCAGAATAGCAACTCAACATTTTTATTTTAAAATTCCTCCTTTGGAGATAACCTCATGAGATTTACATTGTATTTGTCCGAGGCTCCTGAGTAGGGAGTTGCAGAGTGCTACTCAAGTGCATCAGAGCCATGTGAACATTAATTTGCAAAATGCTCACCTTGGACCTAGAGGCAACTGAGAACAATTGTTCATGAATGGATGGACTCAGAAATTCTGAAACACACAGTTCTGTCGTTGAGTTCATTGCATTTTCTGCTGAGAGTGGAGTCTGAGGGTTCCACCATGCTAGGTGTGAATCTAGTATAAACATGAAAAAATAAGAGTCATTTGGATGATGGTGTGTTGCACTTAGCAGCAACCTATAGTGTTTCGTTTGTTTGTTTGTTTTCGCTCAAAGAATAAATCTGTCCAAAGCTCATCTGCTGAATTGGGATCTATGAGCCTTTTAATAGGATTTTTGAAAGGGAGTGGAAAATTTACAGCTCCTTATAGATAGCCTGACATGAAAGTTAAGGTCAATGGTGTTTTGTTCAGCCACTCCATCCAAGTCGAACCCAGGGGCAGGGATCTGTTTCGTTCTCATTTAATAGTGCCAAGTGCCAAACTTTCTCTTTCTCAGGTATAGTCTTCTAATCTCGTGGTGGTGTGACAAAGTTCTATTTACCATGTAGGTACTTAATGCATATTATGATGATTTAAGATGTAGTTGGTCCTTGAGATGGTGATTGGTCCCCTAACCTGATGCCTCATTCAGGGTTCCTTATCAGGGAAAAGCATCACCTTATCCCAGTGGTATAAGTCAGAATCTTGGGAGTCATCCTTGAATCCTCTGTTTTTTCCATCCTTATTCATAATGAATGCAGGACCAGGTCCTATCAATGTCACTTCTTAAAATATTTTTTGAAGCCATCCATTTCTCTCTCGATGGCCGTCACTCCAATCTATGCCCTTGTCATATCTGCTTGGACTACTAAAGAAGCTGCCTCACCCTCAACCAGTGTCCTCTTTCAAAACCTGCATCTATGAGACCGTCACTGATTTCCCATTGTTCTTAGGCTAGCAACCTTATCACTGTCGTGGACAAGAAGGCCCTGCCGTCTTGCCCCGTCTCTCTTTCTAGCCTCGTCTTGAAGGCTTCTCCCTGCCCCTTGTACTGCAGCCTCCTAGCCTCCCATGCGTCAGCACAGAGTCTCAGCATGTTCAGTTTCCTCTAGGTGACTGTCTCTCCCCAGCTGTCTCTGTCTCGTCACCTTCTACTCATCCTTTCTAAGCCAGCTGGAGTGTTATTTCCTCATGGATGACTTCCCTGGTCTCCTGGTCTAAGAAGTGTTCTCTTTCTTTCTTTCTTTCTTTCTTTATTATTTTTTGAGATGGAGTCTCACTCTGTCGCCCGGACTGGAGTACAGTGGTGCGATCTTGGCTCACTGCAACCTCCACCTCCCGGGTTCAAGTGGTTTTCCTGCCTCAGCCTCCCGTGTAGCTGGGATTACAGGTGTGCACCACTACGCCCAGATAATTTTTGCATTTGTAGAAGAGATGGGGTTTCACCGTGTTGGCCAGGATGGTCTCGAACTCCTGACCTCAAGTGATCCACCTGCCTTGGCCTCCCCAAGTGCTGGGGTTACACCACAACGCCCGGCCCAGTGTTCTTTACTGACTGTTCTTACAGACCCATGCTCCTTCCCCTCATTGTGCTTACATCAGTTCACAGTGTATTTGTGTTGTGTTTGATTAATGTCTGTCTCCCTTATCAGAGTATCAGCTGTGTTCAAGTTGAATGATGAAGAGAAATCTTAAAAAAATAAAGTACCAGCTCTGTGAGCAGGGGTCATGCCCGAGCGTGCTCACCATCCGGAGTCTCCAGCACTTGTTACAGTGCTTGGAAAAAGTAGTTGCTGAATACGTTTGTTGAGTGAATAAATGGCTGTTTACTTATTGAATGTTTAGGTAGAAGAAGAAGAACCCACTGGATACATTCGATTCGAAAAATTTCTTCCGGTGATGACAGAAATACTACTAGAAAGGAGGTAAGTAAGTAAATGCAATTGTTAAGGCAAAGTAATGGTTTGAATTATGAATCCGTTCATTTCAGGATGCTTGACTTTTTCACTTTGTATGTTATACTCAACCAGTGTATCTTAAGGTGGCCTCCCTCTAACCTTTCAAGATACTTCTGAACTGCCAGTTGGTACATGCTTAGAAATATCAACCACATTAGTGTTATCCGAAGCAAAGCATAATTAGGGGGTAAATAAGCTACAAAAATCGTAAATCAACATTCTTATTATCTTCTGTTTCGAATTAGCAATGATAAATAAGAATCCTAACATTTTTCTAGCAAAAATATAGCATTAGCTTACGATAGTTCATTCATCATAGAATTCTTGTGCCCAGATAAATTGATTTCCAAAAAGCGAATAGATAACCTCAAACATGTCAGTGATTTTGCACTAAGTATTTCCTGTGGGGCTGAGGTATTTCAACTTTCATATCCAGAAATCCAAAAAGATTTCAGTGAGGCGAGTATTATCATCCCAGTATATCAGCAGCCTTTATTTTATTTTTTATTTTATTTTATTTTATTTTTTTGAGAGGGAGTTTCACTCTTGTCACGCAGGCTGGAATGCAGTGGCACCATCTTGGCTCACTGCAACCTCTGCCTCCTGGGTTCAAGCGATTCTCCTGCCTCAGCCTCCCGAGTAGCTGGGATTACAGGCGTATGTATGCCACCACGCCTGGCTAATTTTTGTGTTTTTAGTAGAGACAGGGTTTCATTATGTTGGCCAGTCTGGTCTCGAACTCCTGACCTCAGGTGATCTGCCCACCTCGGCCTCCCAAAGTGCTGGGATTACAGGCGTGAGCCACTGCGCCCAGCCCTGTTTTGTTTTATGTGGTCATTTATTACAGGGGTCCCCAACCACCAGGCCAGGGACTGGTTGCACGCTTCTCATGAGAATCTAATGCCCGATGATCTGAGGTGGAGCAGTTTCATCCACAACCCATCCCTCCCCTCCTTGGTCTGTGGAAGAATTATCTTCAGTGAAACTGGTCCCTGGTGCCAAAAAGGTTGGAGACTGCTGATTTATTATGTAGAGACTGCAGTAAATACTGTGGCATTTACTCGTTTTATTGCATAATTATAGATACAGACCAATTCCAGAAGATGTCCTTCTTCGAGCTTTTGAGGTATGTAAACTCCAGCTTATATGCATATACATATATGTAAATACATATATTTATATACACATGTATATGAAAAATTCATCATGTAGAACTTAATTCACCAAATGAAAAAATGTAATATCTATCTTTTCTTTTTCCCTAGGTTTTAGATTCAGCTAAACGTGGGTTTCTTACTAAGGATGAACTGATCAAGTATATGACTGAAGAAGGTAAGCATGATTTATTACTTATCACAGTGACTTATGTGAGGAATTAATAATTTGTTAACAGTTATGCGGAAGTTATAGGGGATACTTTAAAATCAGTTGTTCTGTTTAAAAAGTTATTTACTGTTCCTACTATTTTGGCTTGGGGATGGTTTCTGTTCTGTGGGGGTTAAGAGGACAAAGAGTAGGGAAAGGGGAGATGGGTTGTTGTCTCGTAGGATTTTGTGAAGCATAGTGATTACTTCTATAATTTCAGGCATTCCATTCAGAGCATTTCCAGAATAAAAGATATGCCATGTGGAAAACATGAACTATCAATCACTGTAAATGAAGGCCTCTTCCTAGATTGAAGATTTGAATAGAAGTATATAAAAATCCCCCTTTTTTTTTTTTTGAGACAGAGTCTCATTCTCTTGCCCAGGCTAGAGTGCAGTGGTGCGATCTCAGCTCACTGCAACCTCCGCCTCCTGGGTTCAAGTGATTCTCCTACCTCCGCCTCCTGAGTAGCTGGGATTACAAGCATGGGCCACCATGCCCAGCTAATTTTTGTAGTTTTAGTAGAGATGGGTTTCACCATGTTGGCCATGCTGGTCTTGAACTCCTGACCTCAGGTGATCCATCCATCTTGGCCTCCCACAGTGCTGGTAAAATTTCCTTTTTAAAGAGCTTTTCTGTCAGTGAAGTTACAGCTAATGTAACCTCAATTGAATACTGAGGTCATTTTTAACACTAAAAATTTCCTTTTTTAATGTTAATTGAACCATATATATTTGTTTCGAACATGGCCCATCATACATATATGCATACACACACACGTAAAACCTGCACACTTACATACCTGCCAACATATTTCCTTTAGGAATTCTGTCTGCTAGGCTGATGTGTAAAGTTGTTTACCTTGAAGGTCAGTGGCCTGATGGACAGTCTCCTGAAGCCAGCCTCATATTGGTCACCTTGCCTTCTCCCATACAGAGCTAGAGCTCCCTGGTTCACACATTGAGTCCTGAATGACTCAGTTGCTGATCACTTGTGACAGAATCAAAAGTGCAAGTAATTTGGAGTAGGGAAGACTAAGACTGCATCTACATGCATGACTGGTTTGACCATCCCAACTTGATCCACCTTTAGACGGAACACAGGGAGTGAGGGTAAGAATGCCACGACCATCAGAGCTGCCACCCAAGAACTCTTATGCCGTTGTTAAAATTATCTTAGGGATTAATTTTGATGGGAATGTTACAACTTTCAAAGCATCAGCTTCTTAATCCTAAGGATTAGTTTAAAGAAAGTAAATCCTAGGTTATGTATTAGGCAACATGAGTTTAGTCAAAATGGCTCAAACAGTTAGCTTTTCCTACTGTTGTGTGCCTACTGTATGTTTAGGATTCAGTAAGTGTGGTAAGGTATAATGATACTGAAATCTTCCTCTCTCAAGGATATTACAATCTTATTGGGGAGATAAAACTAACATAAAATAATTCACAGTACAAGACAATAGAAAAATCAATATCAGAAGATCAACCAGGGCCGGACCAGCCTGGAAAGCTCGGTCTGGGAAGACTTAAAGAGAAAATAGGTTTTTTGAGAGGGTAGAATGTATATGGTTAAGTTGAGGGCAGAGGTAAACTCTGATGCATTTTAATTCCCTCACACACGGTAGATCTCAACAAATGTTTGTTGAATGAATGAATGAATGAATGAGTAGATGATGAAGACCAGGTGAAGGGGCTAATGAGAGGGAGACATTATTGATACGTAAAACAGTCTGAACAAAAATTGGGAGGTAGGAATGAACATGCTATTTCAGAGAGAAAATAAGCCTAGCTGGCCCAGAGGATAATGCTGGCAAACAGCGGGAAATTAACTTCAGTAGATTTACTAGGACTAAATTGTGGAGTCCCAGGCTCAGGAGTTTGGAATTCACCTGTGGGCGATGGAGAAGTATTATAGGCTTTTAAGCAGATGAGTCACATGGTGTATGAGTGATTGTGAGAAGGTTTTACTGGTGCTGGTCGGTTTGTTAGATGCATGAGAAAGAGGTTGGACTAGGGAGGCCAGTTAGAAGGTTATTTCAGCATCTGAAGGCACCCAAATAAAGGCCTGACCTGGCAACAGAAATGGCAATGGGGAGAAGGGATTGGTACAGTAGGACTGTCTGTGGCAGGATCCATGGGTCATGATGAGTAACAGAGTGTAGGTGACAAAGATGAGAGCCGAATCAAAAATAACATCAAGGCTCTGCCCTCAATGACAAATATTATGGTAACGCTACTGACTGAAACAGAAAAGTCAGAACAGACTGCAGTGTATACAGAGATGGTGCAATCACGTGGTTTACTTGGAGGCCTGTGTGATAATTTCGAAAATGATATGTTTACAGATAGTTCATGGTACTTAAAGATCAACTATTGAGTATCTCAGTGGACTAAGCATAGGACAGTATTTTCAAGTAAGAATATATATGGTTTCAATTATTCATTCAACAAGTGTTATTACAAACCTTCTACATATATGAACCAATATGTTTGGAAGTAATATGTAAGATGTAAATTACTAGGCAGATCTAAGTTATGATTTAATATAACGGACCCATCAGCTAAGTGTAATAGCAGTTGACTAGTTTGGTAAAATAGGTGCTTAAGAATTGCTAGTTTGAGAGTCTCAGAATTCTACAAATTGTTTTTAAGTAAATTTCTGCTACATAGCAATATAGATTCAAGTTACTTGCACGCGCTTCATAATATTCACAAAGTATCAGCTAGTTTGAGAATATGCATTTTTACAGCCCAGGATGTCATATGATAAACAAAATAAATCACATTGAATCAAGTTCCTAGAAGATAGAAGTCCCTAAGTGTCCAGGAATGTGTATTGCATCAGACAGTGTTTAGCAGGAGGGAAGATCTCAGAACGATGTTTTAAACAAACACTTACATGTTGCTGCTTATATGCCAAGTACTGTTCTACATCCCATTCAAATCACAACACATTTCATCCTCATGACAACCCTGTGTGATAGGTAGTGTCATTATCACCTCCATTTTATAGACAGGTAAACTAAGGTGTGGGGCAGTTAAGTGACTTGCTCAAGACTTTCGAGCAAGTAAGAGGCAGCCAGCATGTGAATCCAAACTTGTGCTTTAACCATTCGGTGATTTTCCTTCCATCTTTAATCAAATACTGGGGCTTCAGGTTCATCCTCTGGTAATCTCAAAAGTTTTCATCTAAATAAAGAACCTTGTTCGTGATATCTGTGTGTCTTCCTACTGTTTTGCCTGAAATGACGCGTTCTAGAGGTTGCTTGATCTGTGACATCTACAGGCTGAAAGAAGTCCAGAATCTGCCAGGGTGTACAACAGCCTTCTCTTTGAACCTCTGGACTGTCGTGATATCCTGGCTCTGCAGCTCCAGGGAGCTAACTAGTGACAGTGTGGGAGTTTGTGGGGGCTCCGTGGCTATTAAGCTGACTAGTGGAAAGAGAAAGAAAAAAATCAGATGATCATAAATGATAAATTTTCCTTTCTGTCTCTCTGAGGTGAGCCTTTTTCTCAAGAGGAAATGGAAGAAATGTTGTCTGCTGCAATTGATCCAGAATCAAATTCAATTCATTACAAGGACTATATAACAATGATGGTGATAGATGAAAATTAAATGTTCTAAAGATAATTTCTAATTGAAAGGACAATTTTAGAAATTGCTTCTCCTTGTTAATTTCACATCTAAGATAAGAGAATCTAAGGAATCTTAGGATTCCTATATGTGATATTTAATACCTTGTGACGTAACTATTTCTATTTTGAGATACTTTGTTTTTAAAGATGATCATAACACGTTAAAACAAATTTAGTATGTCTAGCCTTACAGAATGATAAATTGCTCTTTATTTAAAAACTATTCTTAATACATTTTAACATTAGAATTGATTGTTATATTCTGTAATAAAACTCAGGTAACCTTCAAATTAATTAAGCTGACAAAATGAAAATGACTGTAATGACCCAAGGTTTGACATATAAAGATCTTAAGAGGGGGCAGAATGACCAGCAATTGACAATGAGTAGCAATATAATGAAGGCTTCCTTTTTCAACAGTAACAAATGCTTCATCAATCTGAGTGTGGAAGGAGATTTATCAAAATAAATATTAATTGATTTTTTATGAGTGCCAATTACGAATGTCATTTGGGATTGTAATAACTGAGTGTAAACATTTATATTTGCTGATCCAGCATGTCACCATTTATGGAGTAGCTAAAGGAGTTGAGATCATTGAAACTAGAGAAAAGAAGGCTGAGTGGAAATTGATAGTGTAAGGTAGTGGCAATTCTCTCTTTGTCTTTAGAATTGTCACCTACTCGGTATATCTGTCATGGGAATATTGTCCTGAATACTGAGTAAGAATACTGAGAAATGTTTTGGTGTGCAAATGTGCAGCTCCTGAAAGAGCAGAATGAAGGACGCCTCTGAGCACAAGCAGTCACAATGGAAAAATAGTCACTATATGGCAACTGACAAGCAAAGGGGAAGATAAGGTAAAGGAGAATGAACACTTTTCCCAACTTAGATATTTTTTTATAGCAATACACACACACACACACACAAACACACGGATCTCTATTTAAAGATGGCTTTACCACCGTATGTGTGTATCTACATAGATGTCAACGTTTCAAGTTGCTGGGAGCCTTCCTCAGGCATGCTGTCTTGCCTCCGAAAGATGCAGCTGCTACCCAAGAGACTGTCACTGTTCATTCATTCATGAAACATTGAATGAGTATCATGAGATAATGTGCTAGGAACCAGAGTCCCTAACGAATCCAGGTCACAGTTTAGTGAAGGAAGCCTGCAAGTCCATCAGCAGCCACATTTCAGACAGGGGCACGTTCAGGGTACCGTGGAAGTACAGCAGAGGGGCAGCTACTTGGCCTTGCAGGGAGGGAGCTTTCTGGGAGATGAAAGGTGCCAGTGAGCAGAGAAGGCTTCCCAGGACAGGAAACACCTGACTTTAAAATGAGAAGTTTAGTAAGTGGGCAGCAGGGCACAGGGCATTTCAGCAGGTGAGCGGCAAGTCCGGAAACCCTAGAGGTGTCATGAAACATGGAACCACCTGGGAATTGAAAGCAGCTCAGTATGTTTGGAATGTAGGAGATTTGGGGGTCATGATGAGAGGTGAAACTGGAGCGGTAAACAGGAGCTGTATCATTAAGAATATCGGGTTAGGTGTTGAGTTAAGGTTTCAGCGTGAGAGTTTGGACTTTATTCTGAAGATCACAGAGAAAGATCATTTGTAAGCAGCAGGGAAAATAGATTTGATAGGTCAAGACTAGAAGTGAGACCCGTTTGTAGGCCATTTGGTTGGTGGGAGGGGATAGACTGAGAAAAGTCAAGCATGAATCCCAGGTTTCTGGCTCAGACGATGGGTAAAAGTGCCATTCATTCAGATAAGAAATCTGAGGAGCGGCCGGGCGCGGTGGCTCAAGCCTGTAATCCCAGCACTTTGGGAGGCCGAGACGGGTGGATCACGAGGTCAGGAGATCGAGACCATCCTGGCTAACATGGTGAAACCCCGTCTCTACTAAAAATACAAAAAAAAAAAAAATTGCCGGGCGAGGTGGCGGGCGCCTGTAGTCCCAGCTACTCGGGAGGCTGAGGCAGGAGAATGGCGTGAACCCGGGAGGCGGAGCTTGCAGTGAGCTGAGATCCGGCCACTGCACTTCAGCCTGGGCGACAGAGCGAGACTCCGTCTCAAAAAAAAAAAAAAAAAAAAAAAAAAAAAATCTGAGGAGCAAGTGGGGCATTGGTAAGCAAAATGGTGAGGTTGGGTACAGACACCTTTGGAGCTCAGCATGTAAGCAGCTTGAAAGGAAAAGAAGAGAGTCTAGAACAAAACCATGGGGAACATCAGCACTGACGGGAAGGCAGAGGAAGTGGAGCCCACAAAAGAGACTGGGAAGGAGAAGCCTGAGAAGAGGAAAGCTGGAAAGAAGCATCTTGGATGCCAAGATCAGAGAGAATCGCAAGGAGGGAGCAGTGGCCATGCCGGATGTAGTGGAGGGGAGAGGGAAATTACAGACGGAAAAAACGCCCATTGGTGGTAGCAACGAAGAGTTCTTTGAGGGCCTCTCCCAGAGCAGATGTGGGGAAGCAACAGGGTATGGAGTTGAGTGGATTGAGGAAGGAATGGATGTGAGAAGGTTGCAGCCTGGAGGACAAGTTACTCAGCAGTGAAGAGAAGGAAACAGACAACAGGCTGGGGGAGTGATTTTTGGAAGATGGGCAGATGTAGCAAGTTCATTTCTAGTCCGAGGGCTGAGAGCCCGCAGAGAGGGTGAAGGGAGGGGCCGGCTTCCAGAGCAATACAGAGATTTAGGAACAGTGAACCAACGCCTGTGGTCCCTACCTCATGGCCTCTACTGCCTTTTGGAGAGGAAGGTAGTAGGTTACAGAGCTTGAAGAGAATGGTGTAACTTTAGAATATCTCTTGTGGGAAATGGGAAAAAGAGTTGAGAGAGCCCATGCAAGGATTTTCAAGAAACCCTGGAAGATTTTGTGCTCAGGAGCAAAAAAGAAAAGAAAAAAGGTAGATTGTTGTACCAGGGTTAAGCTTTGTCATGTGGGTGAGGTGGAAGGAGCCGAAGGCCGAGGAATCTGCAACAACGCAGTTCCGAGGGTGTCCGTGGCTAACATGTTAGGGAAAGACCCAGGCAGGAGGACTGGCTAACAGATGGGAGGGTTAGAGGACTCGGGGCTCTAAAAGGGCAAGTGGCTGGTGTTGGTAGCAAGGGTGGTCTCTCCTACCATTCCTGAGTGATAATACGTTTCCTTTGAAATTTGACTTCACTGTGTTCTTAGAGCGTTTCTTTTCTTCTCCTGTGTTATTATATGAATAAATAGTAAGAGTGGCTGACGTTTGTTGACTGTTGTCTGTGTTGCAGGCACTGTCCTAAGTGCTTGACTTACATGAACTCATTTCATCCTCACATCCACCACTGGTGTAGGTGCTGTTAAGTTATCCCCATGTTGCAGAGGTGGCAATCAAGAAGTTACACAGCAGTAAGGGGCTGTATCAGCTTTTTCTAGGTTATGTTGTGATAACGAAACTCCCAAAGTCAGAGGTTTACAAGGATAAAACTTATTTCTGTTGATGTTTTTTTGTCAGCTGGGGTCATCTGGGACTCTGCCCTACATGTCTTTGTTCTACTCATGGCCTGGAGAAGTACGATGTCCTGCTGGACGTCTGTCCTGCTTTGCCGGAGGTAGTCCCAGACTATACCCGTCCCAGTGTAATTATTAACAGGTCTCCTTTGTACTCTTGGAAATGTTCCAGTTTAGATGATTAATATGTGGTCATCCCATTCAAAAAATAGTGAGTAAAAACGATGGCGAGGAATCGTCACTTCTGGAAGGCTTTCTGACAAATAATTCCAGCAATGGTAACAGTGGAAGGCATTTCTTCCTTCTCTAGTTTGCCAAGATCATTTTTCCCCCCAGCATTACCTGAGATTTTCCCAAGGTAAAATCCAGATGAGAACTGATGTGCCGCTGGCTTGACCGCGCATGTCAGAATCACCAGCCAGAGATGAGGATGAGCCACATGCCTTCAGGACAGGGCGGAGATGGAGGAGGAGAGGAGTGTGGTGACCCTCAGAACATCAACAGACAGGCTGTTTATGATGGGAACACATTGCAGCTGGGAAGGAGGGTGGCCGAGATATGAAATACCCTTCAAGGTGGACGCATACCCAGGGCATATCATTCGGTGGCAGGGGCCAGCACGGACATGCAGCATTGAAGCGTGTGCTACAGCCTAATGCGTCAGCCCAGGCACAGACTTGTTTGGAGCACACAAAACAGCTCTGAGTTAAGTCCTGTAAGCCATTAAAGAAGTACGGTCTGGTGAATGAACCCTAATCTCTTGATCAAGTGATGACATCATATTCTCTCTCCGAGGAGACGCTGTCGTGCGCAGAAGGCAGTAGAGGAAGGTTGCATCGAGATTGCGTGCCGCCCCAGGCCCTATCGTCGAGGATTCTTTCAGAAGTTCTGACTGATGTTCAACTTCACATCTTGTCGCAAGGGAATCTTCTCTGTTTAGTGTCATAAAGTTGGCTTTATGGAATGTAATTCATTTTTATCTTCAGCACAAATTTGTCTGTTTCTTTTAAGGCCACCAGAAAGCGCAACATAGACTCCCCACAGAAATCTCACTTTATCTCCTAAGCTGCAGAATAAACGTACCTTGTTTGCAAACGGAGCATTTTTCTTTACACTCAAATCACTTCAATGTGTATTTTGCCTGTTCAGCTCACCGACCTTGCCCTCAGCATCTGATGTAAATCACCGTGCCAGTTCCTGACTGGGAGAGTGCTTGGTCTCTTGCGCGGGAAGTTTGCTGACCCTCATGACTCCTGGCTTCTGCAGAGCCTGCCATACCCCACAGCTCTGCCGGGCCCTGTGGAAAGCCGTCTCTGTGCTCACACTGCTGGGGAAGGTGCGTGACTCAGGGCCCGACACACAGGCCTGAGGGTCCGGCGATCTTGCGCTCTGCTGCCAGCTCCATGTGTGACTCACTCTGGGTCAGGCGCTTCCCTCCTGTGCACCTCTGTCTGTCAAATAGAGAGCTCAGCTCTGTCCTTCTCCCTCCTGAGAAGAAGTGCAGAGATTCAGTCCCCTTTGCAGTCACCCAGTGTCTAAGTGCCAAATGCCTAAAAGACACAACAAAGAGAGTCTAAGATAGCAGGCTAGTTGGGATGACGACTGTTCGGTAAGGGCAGGAGTATTTTCTGTGGGATGGAATGTGTTCAGATCTTTCCTACCTTCCCATCTTCCTTCCTTTCCCTTTTCTAAATCCTTCCATATAAGAAGGTACCGTGTTTATACAGGCAGTTCCTTGAAGATCAAGGGTTACTACCTTACCCTCCTGGGCTGCTTAAATAAACAGAGAGCCTCATGGTCGCGCGTGCTCCCCTCGTGCCAGGCATGGTGGCTGCGTGTTTCTGAAAGCGTGGTTGCCAGTCATCTGCTTCAGGAGCATCCGGAAGGAGGGTGTTAGAAATCGGGGGTGTGCCCCGTTCCAGACCCCTAAAACAGAGAAACTTTAACGTTCTCAGGGGAGCCTTATGCACGCTTGTGTGTAAAAAGCACTACCTGGGGCTCT